TTTTCTTCATATTTATAAAATAGTCGAAATACATGTATTTCCAAAAGAATACTTCGATTTTGAGATTCATCATCTTACATTTTGAAAATGTTCAAGCAATATAAAACAATTTTGATGCAACTTTCAAAAGAATGTGCATACCATTCCAAATACTGTTCGTGACATTTAGAAAAATTTAGCGCGTGTAGAAAATTGTGTTACATTTTCAAATGTGTTTATAAAATGCAAAAATAATCTTCACGTAATTTGAATAGAAATATTCCATACCATTCAAAAAAACATTTGTGACATACTAATAAAATCACGCACTGCCTAACTATGTTTATGACAATTTAGAACAAATGTATGCAATGCAAAAAAATGTTTTTGATTTGGAAGTATCGCTTTGTTCCGCATCTACGCCGAATATTCCTTCGGTGGCAACGAGTGGGTTCCATTCCCTCCATATGGGAAACGCTAGAACCAGACACAGGTACTGGTGCAACCCATGTTGTTCCACTTCGTGACTGAAGCCAAGCACACCTATAAAGACTATCCTTATCAAAGGCTTACGCATATCAATCTTCGCGCGAACTATGTAGAAATTTCAGTGCATATGCTACAACTACAAATTCCATGACAGGAAGTACTCCCTCCATTTTTGTATACAAGGCCACTACCAAAATTATAATTTGCAGCTATACAAGGCCACTAACACAAATCAATGTAAAATTGATGAGGTTTGCCTCGTACTAGCAACCGAAGACATTAATACCTCATGCATGTATGCGGGAGTGAGAAGATTAATATGCACCATATTAATCAACCAACAAGGAGTGAGAGAGTTGTCTTGTTGTGCATTGGAGAGAAAATACACATTAATTAACACGTCAAGCAAGGAGAAAATACTATTTTGCAATATTGGTTTAATTAGCCATTAATTTCTACCTTGGTACCTGTAATATGGGTTTGTGGCCTTGTATATAAAAATGGAGTTCATCAAGCACCGGAGATGTTGGGCCAAAGAATATTCCTCCATGATTCAAAACTTCTATAACGTCCATGTTTTCTTTTCTTTTGAGGAATCATCACATATACACAGACTCGGAACCTCCAGGTCTTCATTGAAATGGGGCCCCTGTTGGTGAGAGTTGAGTTTTTCAAGTTGAGAAAAGAAACAAATTAGAGATGGTCTTTGTGGAAAAAGTGGTCTTGGTCTTAATCAGAAAAACTCATGTTGACAAAACAATTTTGGATTCCCAACTGCCTCCAACTCTGATATAGTTTTTAAATACTAGAAGCAGTAAATTTCATATAAGAGAGATAGAACCAGACTACTATATATTATTTATTTTTTGAAATGGCGGGATTCCTGCATTCATTAAGAAGAAGAAATTACTCGGTTAATTAGGGAAAATCGAGTGAAAACCAGATTGTCTAGTCAAATATGAAAAACCGGGCAAAAACCATCACAACCGCTGAGCAGCATCCAGAAGATACATGTTGTGGATACCCACCAATGGTAGGGTCATAAGAGGCACATCTTGGCCCTAATGGAGGACCGACAACACCAAACATTAAGACCTCCGGGTCACCGATCTACTCGGACAGAATTTGAGGTTCCCATCACTCGGACCGTACTCATCCACTCGATCACCTCCAAACCACTCGGGCGCACGTGTCACTCGGCAGTAGGAGGCGAACAGCCGGACGAGGAATCTTGAGCGTCAAGGGGTGCACGGCATAAGTATTACCAGCATTTACTTCGTTAGTTACACTTTGTAGTGCGCATCATAAATACATACACTTAAACCCCACCCAAAGGGGGCTAGACGAGGGGCTGGTGTACTCTATATAAGCCACCACGTAGCACATGAACATGGATTCACATTCCATTTGTAATCAGACACAAGAGAAAGCATAGCCCCAGGGCTCGAGACGTACTATTGTTACGTCCTCTGTGAGGGGCCCGAAATCGTAAACTACGTGTGTCACTTCTCCGTCATAGCTTGATCTAGCCCTTGTTCATACCCCTATTCCTTACTGTCAGAGTCATTCCCACAATAGTTGGCGCCCACTTTGGGGTTGCGCATCTTGCAGTACAAGGCACAGGTGGATTCTTCATCTTCCGTCATTCTTGGCTTCGACATGAAGCTCAGCATCTAAATCCGTTTTGGTGCCCTTCCCTTCGACGCAGACGATTCGGTGTGGCTTCAGGAAGCCCCGCTAGATATGGAGTCGCTACCCATCCACGGATGATCGTGGCCTCAATGGCGGACCACTCCGGTTCGCCCCGCATGTACTCGCTGTCCACGGAACCGTCGATGTGCTCAGCGAGATTGTACTCGCGGAGGATGAGGTTGAAGTAGGTCTTCCACACGTAGTACGACGTGCTAGAGCTGTCTAGACGGATAGGGACCCCGGCCTCGATGTTGAGGTCACGGATGGCGGCGGCAGAGTGCTCGGGGCCGGCGAAGGGGTTCGATGAGCGGGTCGTGAAGGAGCCCGGAGAAGACATGGCGGCGGGTAGGGTTAGGGTTTTGGGAGGAGGAGGATGTGGCAGTGGCGGGGGAGGCGGCTACGGGAGGGCCGTGGCGCGGCAAGGGGCAGCGGGCGGCGCGAGCAGCAACGGCAATGGAGGGAGAGGGTGGCACGGCAGTTGGCAGCGAGCGGCACGCGGCGGAGGGAGGCACGGCGCGGCTGCGGTGGGCGGCGCGGCCGAGGGGCGGAAGCGGCGCACGGGACGGCGGCGGCGCAAGTGAAGGAGGGGCGCAACGGCGGTGGCGAACCCTAGGTTAGGACCGAAAAGGATGATACTGTATGTAGACGGACAAGTTTGGAATACTATAATCATTGTATTGATGGGGTGCTGGTGCACGTATATATAAGTACAGGGTAGGCCTCAACCTTAATTATACATGACTAGGAGGTAGACCACAACACGTAATACATGCAACACAAAATATATACTCAACACAGACCAAGGGACCTGCATATATCATAACTTCTATGACTTTCTCGTTTCTTCATCATATATACACAGACTCGAAACCTCCACCACTTCATCTAAATGGGGCTCCTGTTGGTGACAGTTGAGATTTTTCAAGTTGAGAAGGGGAACAAATCAGAGATGGTCTTTATCAGAAAAAGGTGTTTGTGCATGGTGTTAATTAGACAAGCTCATATTGACAATACTATTTTGATAATAAGATTTCGAACCGCCTCCGACTCCGATACAGTTTGTAAGTATTAGAAGTAGTAAATTTCGTGTGATAAAAGGGGTAGAGCCAGCCTGCTATTTCTTTTTACAAGGAGATTAACAGTCGTCTTCAACACAGTTACTATGTGATCTCCTCTTATTTGAGCGCAGGCAGCAAACACACCTCCTAGGTTGGACGTACGATGAGACTAGTAGCGCTGCTGGCGGATGCGGCCGACGTTCCCTTGAGGTCCCTGGAGCATCCCCATCTTGCTCATGGAGCTGCCGAACTGGTTCCAGAACCACCACTCATTGTCGGCGAAGTCGTTCACGTACTCTCGGGTGGTCTCATTGAGGAGGAGCTGCACGTCGGAGGTAAGAACCCCCTTCCCCTGTTTGAGGTTGATGTAGTACTTGTTGTGGAACTCTTCCGGGGTGGTCACGTCGAGGTCCTGACGCCGGTTCACGTCGGCGGTGCAGTTGTCTTGTAGCTTTCGGACAAAGTCATCAGAGTCGGAGTTAGGGAAACGGTCGCTGAAGGTGGCGCAACGAGCTTTCCCGATGGTGTGCGCGCCAGAGAGAACCACAAGATCTTTCTCGTCGAGGCTGCGGCTGCGGAAGGCAGTGATAAGCTGGTCAACACTGAAGGTGCGGGGTGGGAGTTCCTCGACGAACCTCAGCGGTGCGGGCTCGAAGCTGTCTAGCCTACCGAGTGGCACATGGTAGGGTTTGCCACCTGACTGCAAGTTGCATGATGAAAGCATATGATTTAGCATGTACATTAGGAAAAGATTCTTTTTCCAACCGGGCTCACACCCCTTTCCATTAATTTTGCAATCAACGGAAATACATTGTAGCAGTAATTATCCAAGCCATCCATCCAAAATAAGACTGAAAGGGGAAGAGCAAGCTGGAGCATCGCCAGAAAACCCACCGCAAGATGACCCTAAAACGGATCAACCGCCATGGGGCAAAAACCTGACGACACTTACTAGCCTCTATCCTAACCAACAGTGACAATAAAACGAACCCTGGAAGGCTACCTAGCTTACACAGGGCAGAAAGCGGCAATTCTCCAAAATCATAGGACACTCCAGGACGGGCATCAAACCCCAGTGGACTGCAAAGCGAACAAGTTAGCCGATCTGTATCCCATCTTCATCTTTCAACATCATCACACCTCGCGATTGGTTCCTGTCCGCCAGAGCTGCTGCCACATACGCCAGTCTCTTCACGCCCGCCTAAAACTTCGACTTATCTTCTCCTTTTAGCAGCCCTGCCCAATACAACATAAAAGAACAAGCACTGAAAACAGCCTCCAAAGGAGAGCGAGCATTATACTTGTCAAAGGTAACTTTATTTTGGAGACACCAGATCCCCCAGCACAAAGCAGCAAGAATCATCATGTAAAACTTTTTTCCTCCAGGGAAAAATTTATACAACCACGCCCAACTTTGCCATAGCGATCGTGGGCAACAGGATGCTCCAGCCGTGAGCCCCAGGGTCCCCCAGACAGTTCTAGCATGAGAACATGTAAAGAACAAATGGTTTGCAGTTTCTACACTGGTGCAGAAAGAAGAAATAGGGTTCCCAGGCCAATTCCTCTTCCGTAAGTTATCCCGAGTCAACACAGCATTTTGGAAAAGCTGCCACAAAAATATTTTGATTTTGAACGGAATGCTGGCTTTCCAGATCCACTTATAGTTAGGGCCAGCTATATCTCTCTCCAACCACTCATACACAGATTTAGTGGTAAGCTTTTTGTTCTTGCACAGTTTCTAAAATACAGTGTCAGGGGTGGTGTTTAACGCATATTTTCTAGCCTCAGACACAACCCATTCCCATTGATCATAAATTTCCCCAAACAACCTGCGCCTGAAGCCCAGTTTATAGTTTTTTGCCACAAAATCCGCAACGGTCCCATCCTGATCCTACATACATTGAACAGGACAGGGAATTTTTCGCACAAGGGCGCAGCATCTAACCATGGATCATGCCAAACCCTAGCCAAGTTACCACTATTAATCTTGACAGCTCTCCCCTCCATATATGTCTCCTTAACTTTCATAATCACCTTCCAGCAGGGGGAATCCGAAAAACGACTACGAACATTAGCCACAGTTTTGTTTTTGAAATATCTTGCCCGAATAATTTGTTGCCACAGCCCATCTTTAGTTTCAAGCTTCCACCACCACTTGGTCAACAAGCTAATGTTCTGCTTATGGAGGTCCTTGATCCCCAACCCACCTTTTTTTTTGGACCGACATACCCTAGCCCATTTCACCATATGATAAGCACGTTTGTTATACTTTCTCCTCCAGAAAAACCTTCTCCGATGTTTATCCAACTTACCAATAAAAGTCGTGTTGAATAAGAACATAGACATAAGATATAAGGGGATGCCATCCAGGCTCGAGCCTAACAAGGTGAGCCTAGCTCCTGAAGACTATGCATAAGCTATCCAAGCATCAAGTTTTTTAATCATTTTAGGATCCAATGAATCCAGCTCAATATTTTTTAGAGTGGAGTAGGAGACCGGTGTACCCAAGTATGTCATGGGTAAAGAACCTACCTGACATCCAAACATCTCAGCATATATTGCATCAGTCTCATTATCCCCCCCTATAGTAATAATTTCGCTCTTGTCGAACTTAATTTTCAACCCGGACATGAGTTCAAACAGATAAAGCAATAGTTTCACATTAACAGCTTTCTCATTATCATGTTCGAAGCAAATGACAGTATCATCTGCATATTGCAAAATCCCCACTCCATCCTTTATAAGATCAGAAGCTAACCCTTTGATAAGGCCATTTTTCTGGGCCGAGGTCATCATCTTGGCCAGACATTCTGCTGCAAGATTAAATAGGAACGGAGAATGTGGGTCACCTTGCCTTACCTCTTTGGCACTCTGAATATAAGGGCCCATCTCATCATTGATCTTAACACTAACCGTCCCATTCCTTATGATCTGATTTACCCACCCAGACCATCTTTGGTTAAAGCCACGTTTAACATGACACTCTAGCAAAAAATCCCAATTGACTTTGCCATAGGCTTTTTCAAAGTCAAGTTTGAGAATCACTCCTTTTTGTTTTTTGATATGAGTGTAGTGCATGATCTCATGTAGTGATAAAATGCCATCTACTATATGCCTCCCCTTGATAAAAGCATTTTGATGTATGCTAAACAGTTTATGAGCATATTTGCCAGCCCTAAGGTCCATGACCTTAGTAATAAGTTTATACGGACAACGCAGAAGACAAATTGGCCTGTATTGATGTATTCTCCTAGCATCATTCGACTTAGGCAATAGGGTGATAATGCCATAGTTCAACCTTTGCACATCTAGTTTCCCTTCATAAAACCATTCAAAACGGGCAAATAAGTCCGGAGCTACAACCTCCCAGCAATGTTGATAAAACTCAACTGGGATATTATCTGGCCCGGGCGCCCTATTAGAGTTCATGTCAAATAATGCTTTTTTAATTTCCTCAATAGAGAATGGCTTAGTCAGTTCCTCATTGTCATCAGAAGAAATTTTTTCCTCGTGCGACCATAGATCTCCATCAATGTGACAGAGATTTCCAGGGGCAGGTCCGAAAAGATTTTTATAATACTCTGTGGCATGTGCCAGAAGGTTCTTAGTCCCTTCAATAGTGATCGCACCACACTCCAAGGAGATCAATGGAATTTTTCCTTCTGCGGCCATTAGCAACTTTATGAAAAAAGTTAGTATTATTATCTCCCTTCAAAAGCCATCGCTGAGTAGAGAATTGATGCCAATACAACTCTTCCTCTATATACAAGTTATTGAGCTCTAGCAAAATTTCCAGTTTTCTGGTATAAGCCTGTCCACATAACCCAACAGTCTCCTCAAGCCCTTCCAGCTCCTGCAATTCTAGCTTAATGATATTTCTTCTGATTTTGTTGTGTCCAAAAATATTGGAACCCCACCCTTTAAAGAATTTTTTTATTCTCTTCAGCTTTATGTTCAGAGTGTCAATAGGATCCTTGGTATATACCGGTTTCGACCAAATATCAGCAACCAGAGGCAAAAAATCTTGGTTATTAAGCCAGTTATTGTCGAACTTAAAGCACCTATTACCAGGTGCTCTAGAGGAGGCCAAACCCCCATTTAGTAACAAAGGATTATGATCAGATAACTCTCTAACTAGCTTACTAACTGAAACTAGGGGATACAAGTCCTCCCAGTCAGACGACATCAATACCCTGTCCAACTTCTCTAGGGTAGGGTCTTCCTGTTTGTTAGACCAGGTATAACATCCCCCTGCCATACTTATCTCTCTGAGCCCAAGGAGGTGGATGACAGAATTGAGCACATCAGAAAAGTGGGACATAGGAGTTTTCTTGTTTTTTTCTCCACTATGCCTAAGGATATTAAAGTCTCCTCCCACCAGGTAGGGGATGTGGGTGTTGTTGCACATACTAGATAATTCAGCAATGAATTCTGGTTTATTTTCATCCTGAGCTGCTCCATAAACCACTAACAGGGCCCAATTGCATTTCTTACCTTTATCAAAAAGGTCCATTTGCAGGACATATTTTCCATGCTTAACATTGATCAGATCAAATTTGTCTTTATTAACACCGCCCAGAATACCTCCCGACTTACCCCTGGAAGGGATCCAATCCCATTTGAATTTACCTTCAGGGTCCAACTTCCTAAAATAGGAAGGATTATAAGATTTTTTCATAGTCTCTTGCAGACCAATAAAATCCACATCATTGGCATATATGATATCAGTGAGGCAGATAGACATGCCCTTCTTGCCTGCCCCCCTACAGTTCCATAATAGTCCTATCATTTATACTTAGCAGGTTTCCCCCTCTCCCTAGTAGGTCTGCCAGGATCCAGGGCAGACTTACCATCTTTATTCTTTATCTGACTCCTCGTTACCGGCTTGTCCCTATCCTGGGGGGATAGGACCTTCACTTTTTTCCTCTGCTGAGCACATTTCTTTTTTTGTCTAGATTGCACCAGAGTATAGGGCTCCTCATCATCTACACTTTCATTCTCCCAGGTTAATAGTAAAGGGATGTCATTACCTAGCCCATCATTAACAGTAATAGGGGGAATGTTAGTTTCAGCCTTTTTATCATGCAAGAGGGTCCTAGATACTTCTAATTCCCGCAACACATCTATCGTATCGAAACTATCATCAGGAATATGCACCCCCATCATAGCAGCTCGAGCAACAATAGTAGTATCATCAAGCACAGAGAATTGGTAATTCAAGTGGGATATATTTTTACCTTCAGCATCACGTTTCTTCAGTCTGTTGGTAGCCGTCTCCTCCACACGATCAAGCTTCAGGGACTGTCTACGTGAAGCCCGCCCTTCAGGAGCAAATTTTTCATGCATCGGTGAGCCAGAAGGTGATTCAACAGTGTAAACACTGTGACTATCTCCCCCTTCCGTGGACCCCTCATCAAGAGGAACGATATGAGGCAGAGATGGCCACACCACATAATCTGACAAGGGAGGAAATTTTTCTCCATAAGATTCATCAGCATATTGCATGAACATCGGGGATGGAGGAATAAGGGTTTGGATAATATCCCAAGCACCTTTTTTCATATTGCCAGCAACATTAGGAGATTTTTCCTCCTCCTCCCCAGATATCTCATCACTTTTTTCCTCATAAGTTTTTTCAGCTGGTGATTCAGAGTAAGCCATTTTCTCAGATGCATATTCTCTAGCCATGGATTCGAGCAAAAGCTCAGTATGATTTCCCTCATCGCTATCCCCCTCTTCCTCACTTTCAGCTACCGCAGATAACCTTTGTGACCCTTTATCATAGGTTTGAGAAGTGAAATTACCCATCACAGATGCACTGGTTTCTCCTTGTCCATCAGAAGAAGCAGGATAGGAATTCATCATAGCTTTCTTAGGAAAGGATGGAGATGCACTGCTGTCCAGAGTGACAGAGGCTTGACTTTTTTCTCCTCCCCCCATCACAATTTTTTCAACCTCATAATAGAAATCATAGAACTGTTCTCCCAACATGCCCTCAGCAGTGGGGAGGGATTTTTTTCACCTCTCTACATCCAAGGAGAATTCTAACGTACTCAGGTTTATGCAGAGTGGATTCATCCACCTCAAGAGTGATACCTACCAGAGCTCCTGCATAAGCAACATGCTCAGCATTTCTCTAAAGGAATATTGCTAACTCTAACCCAAGCCTTCTCCATTTCCCCCTTAGCGCCAACAGATGCTGACCAGGGCTTTAGATTGACCACAGCAGCCCCATCCTTCACAGGTAAGCATTTCCCATAGCAACAGGCCCTCTCCACCTCACTAGCATTAGGAAATCTCATCACAAATTGATTATGCCCTATGGAACGAGCAGTACAGCTCCATTTCTTTTTACCAGGCTTATGAGCAAAGAAACCATTAAACTCAGATTCAATCTCTTTAGCTGTAGCACTCCCCTCCACAATGGAAATCACAACACTATTAGTCTTCTCATTTTTCTTAGCAGCGCACACATCAGGGATATAGAAAAAACCCTGCCCAGGAGATTGGAAACCACACAGGAAAGGGATACATTCCCATGGCCTCAAAGTTTGACATAACTGTGCCATATGCCCAAGCTTATTGCATTTTTCACAACGCACAGTAGGACAGCGAGGAGCAAAGTGACCTGGAAGATTGCAGTTGAGGTAGAGCTTGTCGTTGGTCTTGGCAGCTGGATCTGGAGCATCCACTGCAGTCGACGAAGCCGTCTGAGCCGTCGACGTCGTCGTGTTCGCCCGCGCCTTGGCGTCTCCACCCATCGCCCTTGCCGCAGCTTCCCATCTGTCTTCGGAACCTCCGCCAGATCTGGCCCCGCCAGAGGGAGGCGGCGGCGGATCCGGGCGTTGCCACACCATGTGGCGAGAGGAGTTCGCCTGCGCCGTCTTGCACCCCCCGCCGAATCCACCGCGCGTCGAGGAGTCTCGCCATCCGCCAGATCTCCCTCCTCCTCGATCCCCCATCGATGTGGTTGTAGCACTGCACCCGTGCACATGCACACCCGTCACCTGAGCGAACGAACGCTCGTCGCCGCCCACCTTGCCTCGCCACCACCCGAACGAATCTCGTGAGGGAGGAGAGGAGGAAACCCTAGTTTTCTCCCATAGGTGCCCGAAGAGCGGCGCGAGATGAGAGTCGCGGCTCTCAATAATGGAGGTAGGTGGGGTGGGAGGGGGATATGATGCGTCCTCTCCCTCTCCACGCGCCGCGGTCTCCCCCTGGTCTCTGGGCCCGGTGTGGCGGTGAGACCGCCATGGATCCACCTCTCCCGTGCTGCCAGATGTACCGCATCCATCCGCTGCATGGTTCCACCCCTCCCCCACCGGCATGCATGCCCCCACCTCCCGCGTCTCCGTGCATGGCGCCCGGTCAACCCTAGCCCGGTGACACGGGAAAAGGATGGTCTGATCCGGCTCGATGCGCTCTCCCTCGTGTAGATAGCGCGCATCCACCGTCACACCACGCGTGTCGACCAATATCATCCGCAGCGCGCCGTGCCGTAGGACGATCTCGCCGGCAGCGGCGGTGAGGACGCGTGCCGAGATGAGGTCGGCGACATACATGACGCGCCAGCGTGTCTCACGCATCTCGCGCTCCATCCTGTCTTATGGAAACCTAATGCTCATCTTTTTTAGATCTTCAACAGATGATGATCTCTTCTCGCTAGTTGCTTACCTAGCAAGCTTGTCGAGTCGTCCCGTCCTCCATAATTCTGTTCCCGTTCTGCTCCCTCGAGTTCTCGGAAAAGATTCTTACATATTTAGTAGCAATACTTACGGAAGTTTAACCACATGTACTGTATTTTTTCTTCTTACAGAAGTGACATACCGCTACAACGACGTCGTGAGTGGCAAGGGCCATGATGTCAGCGCAGGAGACGGTTGGCCCGCAGGCGGTGTGCACTTTATCACGGATTTCCTCCATGAGGAACGCCACTTTCCGCCTCATATCAAGAGACAGAGGTTCGGTGGCATTTTCATCTCACTCCATGGTGTTCCCAGCAGAAGGATAGATGCATCGCATCCCTGTAAAACATACATATATAATGTGTGCATGTGCTACATAACTCAGTGTTCTCCGAAATAATTATTTATCAGGGGCATGCACTTACTTATTACCTGGGGGAAGCAATCGTGGAAGAACATACGGAGGAGATCGGCGGCGACGGTGATATCCTCCTCGAGGGCTTCTACCACAGCGGTGCGCACGATGCCCTGCAGATCGGGGCACGACAGGTCGTGGTAGTCCGCGGAGAGACCGTCTGCTATGGTCACTACTGGAAGTGTACTATGGTACTGGCCATCGGTAGTCATGGAGATAAGCTGATCCGGCCGCGTGGATGGGAAAGCTGCTGGGAAGAGCATTGCGGCGACGACGAGTCCTGTCATGGCCACCATTGCTCTACTGCAAGCCATCGAACTTTCCTAGCTCTTCTATCAGTACTGCACTACTATCTTGGAGTGTGTCTTCCTTACGCCCAGGACGGTATTATTTATAACTCAACATATAGCTTCAGGGTTGGAGATTGAGAAAGGGTAGGTGCACCGATAATGGAGGGAGAGGTTGAAAAGACCAAAATGCCCTGGCCTAGATTTAATTTCAATCAACGGTTAGTAGCGCACTCATTTCATTAATTAAGATCGTGACAAGTTCATCTAATTTTTTATAAGATCAGGATAAATTCGAACATGGAGCATCTTCCTTTCTCTTTTAGTTTTTGTGTTCCAGATGCAATTGCCTAGCTTTGGATCTAGCATTTAGTATTAATCTACTATATACATGAAAGAGTTTTTCTAACACAGACGCTCAAACAAACACACATACACTCATCCCTATGAACGCATGCACACACTCCTACTCCTATTAGCATCTTCGAGAGACTGAGCCGACACATCATCTTGAGATTGACGAAGACGCCACAGACGTCTTTGTAGTCGACGGGAACGCCTCTTCCCAGTGAACACATTTCGCCAGAAGGCCTGAAATAATTCAGAAAAATCCGAGCACCAATGTTAAGTCAAGGACTTGAACTCTGATAGGTCGAGGATAGCACTGTCCTCGGAAACATCCAACCAAAGGTTGTGTACATGTGTTAGCTCTGTTTAGGAATTTAAGGCTTACTTGATCATATCCTTTAGTGGAACCACTCTCTTCTCACTTCTTTCTTCGAAGGCGCCTTTTTTCCTACCCTGGATTGTAGTTTATTCCCCTTGTTTCCGTTTCACGATGATTCCCTTCCCCCATCATATGCCAATGGTTCCTACTCATAAATATGTTAGGTCAAAAGTATAGAGGTTTGCAGTAAGAAATATATATTGCCTGGTGACCCAAATTTATCAGGGTATGCCAAACGACTTACAAGCAATTCTTTCTACAACAATTAAAGAAAACTTCTGTGAAAAAAGACATCGATCAATAATGGAGTAGGATAAAGAAAAAGATCAAATTACCCTAGAGTTTTACTCCATACAGTAGCGCATGTCCCGCAGTCATTGCATTGTTTAGATGGTAACAATCTAAGGATTTTTTGCATTCCAAAAATACCAAAAACAAATCATGAATTTTAGTTGTTTTTGCATTACTTGAAAAATAGAGAGCATCTTCCTAGCTCTATCAGTTTCGTGATCCACATGGAATTTGCTAGGTCTCAAGCTAGCTTGGAGTACTAAACTAGTATACATGTATGAATTGTAGATGGATTAACAATAGATCCATTTGTTAAGCTATGGCACTTGCAGAGATCGGGTGTTTCTCATCATGCTTTGTATCTACTTCATGCTACATTTTGAGTCAATAAAAATGCCCTTTATCGAAAAGCTATGGCACATGCATCCCTGAGTCAAGAGGTAATTAAGCTATGGCGCATGCATAGATGATTTGATCCTGGTCTCAAAAGCTCGATCTATCATCTAAGCTGGTTATTGTGCCTGCATATGATTCTAGTTCACACTGCGTGTTGAAGTGTGTGTATTAGTATGAGCTCACGATTTAGTTATTCTCAGCTAGCTAGCTCTATAGCTGGTTTGGCCACAGCCGAGATTGGCAAAGTTTGGATATAGCTAGCTCGTTTGGGCACTAATCAATTTGGAGGCTGATGACGTCCTGAAAACACATCAATCCCTAATGACATTATATATTCTTTTATGTTCGTGAGCTGAAGATAATGATGATGAATAAAAGAAGTTTTCTCTTCCAGTTTCGCGCTCTTGTCTTGTGTGAGCGCGTGGTTGCCATGTATGAATTTTTATCACATGGATTGACGGAATCGAGCTACACACGGCGTGCATGCCTGGATGCCTCATGATTAAGTTAATCTAGGATTCCATAACTCTACATGTGGCTTGTCGACTAAGTACACCTGCTACCAAAGGAATCGTATATATATGCCAAACAAATGAGTTAATGTCCACTTCTACAGATGTCTTGATGTCTGTGAAGGTGATGAGGTGGTGGGAGGACGTGTTACAGCTCAACGTTTGAGTCTCTGCCGATCTCACAGATTTTCCCGGCTTAATCAGCAAAAGGCTCTAGCAACCTATGGACTTGTAGACTTGTGTTGGTTTTGATCGAGTTGATCATGACTATGCAATTAAGCTTGATCAAGTTTGTATGTGCATATGTGAATGCGAATGCAAATGCAGTGAACAATTCTGTTGTGAATTGTCCACGCCAAGTATCCAATCTTAGTTAGTAGCTAGCTAGCTCTATTGGGGTAGTATTAAGTGTCTGAGTGAGTGAGTGTGCCTTCCTCACGTCTCCAGTCGATGGTGTTATTAGCTTATACTTATCAGGGCTTGAGAGAGGGTGAGCACATGACTCCATAATGGCGAGATGCAAGAAATACTAAAATACCATTAGTGTTTCAGTCTACTATGGTAGCACACTAATTATATATTATTGACATAATAAGATGAGGATGAATAAAAATAAATATTCCTTTTTCCCTAGTCTGTGTTTCGGATACTGTTGACCATGTTTGGATCTAGCTACTAGTTTCGAGACCTTTACGTGTAATATTCAGTGTTAATTAACATATGGATCGACGATGGATCGGGATCACAATTAAGCTATGACATGTATTACTCACATAAAGGATGTGATATAATATTTATGAAGAGAAACCTTAATTACACGCTGAATAAGGCTGAAGATCGCATGCATCGATAATGGAAAAAGATAATAGATTGAGGTACCCTAGAGTATTAGGATACATAAAAAGCACTCACTGTATTAAGATCCTGAGAAGATTAGGATGGATTAAATAAATAAAAAAATTGTCTTGTTTTGTGTGTCACATGTGACTGTTTGTGTTTTGGATCTAGCCGGATCACTTTGATTTACTACAATGCATTGTTAACACATGGATCAATAATGGATCGAAGGAAATTAGTTAGTCTACCATGTGCATGCTCAGTCGATATCGATCTATGGGGATGATCCAGAAAAATACATTGTATTGAGTAAATTAAAATTTCTGTAATATGAGCTTAGGATTAAAAACTTCTGGATCTGATTCCATAACATGAGTCTACATGTGGTTTTCGTCAGATACCAATCTCTACTCTGGGATCAAGTTACAGCATTGGAGTCTATGTTCGGTTTGTTCATTAGCGTTCAGTAAGGTACTCGTGCCGTGAACCTTGTTCTGGCCAAATTCCTTTGGAGTTGTGTTAGGGAGAGCTTTAGGTGCAACTGAGACCCCCAACTCCTCTCAGGAAGCTCTAGAGTAGTTCATGGTTTATACCAGAAAAACCGTAGAATTGCTTGGAGGGCATTTGCGGTGTTTTCTTGGGCACTATATATGGATTTGTCATTATGAGCTTGCGATTGAAGGTGTTATTCCGGATTATCAAGTTGATCTATTTTCCTTCAGATCTGGTTGGCTTTGGGAAAAAGTAATGGCAGGGCGACGTCTCACGTCGAGCATGGTGCTAGGCAAGATTAAAACTATGCACTACATCAACATAATGAAGCTTATTATGCACCACCATAGTTTTTATTTTGCTTTACTCCTAGACATTTTGTCCTCGTTCGAGCCTCTTGGTATGTAATTTGCGAATACCCTACTATGTCCCTGTTAGAATTTTGTACTGCTACCAATTTATGGCTTTATTAATTTAAAGTCGGACGCTTCTAGTGACTTCGTCTAGAAAAATCTCGCTCTAAGCAAATTGTACATGCTCGCAAACAAGGCAACTTAGAGGTAAGAACAGAGGTTAGACATGACAGGGGATTAAGGTTAATAGTGAGATCATAAACGTTGAGGAAGCCTAGGGAGGTAGGCTGTCATAGAAGTCAACTACTCTCTCCGTTCCTAAATATAAGTCTTTTAAGAGATTTCAATATGGACCACATCTGGATGTATATAGACGTAGTTTACAGTGTAGATTCACTTGCTCCATATGTAGTCCATATTAGAATATCTAAAAAGACTTCTATTTAGGAACAAAGGGAGTATCTAACATAAAAATAGAAACTCAGGGCCCATGCAATTAGGGAAAAAGATTTGTTCGCCCCCGCATCGCCCGCCAGCTCGGGCGGCG